AAGATCAATGAAACCAAAAGTTGGTTCTTTGAAAAAATAAACAAAATAGACAAACCTCTAGCAAGGCTCACAAAGAAAAAAACAAGAGAAAACACGTATTAATAAATAAATCTTTTTTTTAAAAAAAGAATGGACAGGAAATTGGAAGTTTATTAGCATAGTCCAGATGAGAAATGATAGAAACTTGAGTCTAGTTTTTCAAAATAAGAATGAAAAGGAGACATGTTTGAGAAAAATTTAAGAGTTGATGTTAACAGGATTTGGTGTTGAAGATGTTTTTTTCCAGAAAGAATAATTAAAAGTTTTTGAAATCACCAAGACTCTGAAATGGTAAATAGCTCAGGAAAAAAAAAAAATATTCACTTTCTTACTACTCTTTTTTAGCTACTGAAGTAGTTGTTTTAAGAACTCTTTTTTCAATTTAAAAAAATTTCCAGAAAAACATTTGTCTCTGGACAATAAATTTTTATTTCGTGGCTGCTGGTAATTTAATTAGTTTTTATACATCAGCCTTTTTACCTGTTAATTACCTATCAATCTCAAGGAATTTTAGTAATCTATTTAGATAAACTAGGCTTATCTAAAAACCAGACAATTCTGTTTACCTAACAACTATTTCTTAGTGCTCTTAAACACATGATAGAGAAGACTTTTCTTTAGACTGAACTTATTTTGTAGGCAAAATGTAAAACAAGACCATCAAAAATGAAAGAATTTCAAAAACATTTTAATGCTTAGATTTTCCACACTATAAAAAGTTTTTTAATCTCTGCCAGGAGAACATTAGGCTTATTTTAAAAATAAAAGTTTTGGGCCTCTCTGGTGGTGCAAGGGGTTAAGGCACAATCTTTGAAGCTTTCCGCAGCCACTGCAGTACAAGTTTGATCCCTGGCCAGGGAGCTACCCACATGGCGCAGCAGACCTCTCCTGACTTGCCTACTGCTCCCCTCAGCAGTGTGTTGCGGTTAGTATGCCTGTTCTGTTCCCCACTCTGTCTATGTTGAATCCTCTCACCTCCCACAACTCTGGCCTGTACTCCAATTCTTGTATGCATAAATAAATAAATCTTTAAAAATAAAAATTAAAGTTTTATCTTCCATAAAAGCAGAGATAGATGTTTTCTATAACCTTTATATAAAAATATAACTGTAATTTTGACTAATGGGATATACTTTTTTCCTTCTATTTTATATAAATAAGACAAAATGTTGTAATTTTGGAAGAGCTTTTACAATTAGCTTGTTTTGAAATTTTGTCATAATTCTTCAGTTCTTTTTTTCTCAATTCCTCTCCAATCAGTATTTATGCTGCTGTTTAATACTATCTATTTAATTGTAGGACATCTCAATTTTGTTGGAAGTAATAGAGGGCATATACATATATACACAGAAATACATGCATAAATGTAATTGTGATATTAAAAATAAAAGTAGTTTTATATTTTTTTATATCAAAATAAATATAGTTTTAAAGACATGGTGGTGAGATGAGAAGATTAGCATTGAATTCTTAGGAGTCGGAGGTCAAGGAATTCTAAGTACAGTGTTTTCCTTAAATTTCTTAAAACTTCCATATTCTTGTATATAGCCTACTTTTCTACAGGAAAAAGTCTTCTAAAGAAAAAGCCTTTTTTGAGCAGGTACATGTGTAAGTTTCTTCCTATGTACTCCATTAGCACATTGTACTCCTCTCTTGTCAAGTCTTACTGCATTGTAGTTATTTATTTATAGGTCTGTCTTTCTCACTAGACAGAAGTCCTTTAGGGAATGTACCATTTCTTATTCATGTTTGGATTCCTAGTGTATATCACAGTGTCTTTCACATACTCAGCATTTGGGTAATGTTTATCAAATATAGTGCCTCCGTTCAATATGTAATTTTTATACTCTAAAAGGAAGCGAGTAGTGAATATTGAATGAGAAAATTACCATGGATAACCTTTCAAAAAACATACTGCATATTGTATTTTAAAAATGGTTTATAAATTGATTTGCACACAGTGTCTCAGTAATGTATCTACTTGCACACATCATTAACTTGGATAATTCAGGCATTATAATTAAAGCACATTGAGATTCAAAATTAGTAAGAAATGTTGAGACATGTGAAATGGCATAAAGAGTATTATAATAAACATTCATGGGTCCATCATCCAATTTAAGGAATAAAACATTACCAGGACTGCTAAAACTTACCTTATTCCTCTCCCCCTGGTCCATCTCACTTATATTCTGCCCTGTATTTGGTACATTGTTGATTCCAGGACATTTTCCTATACTTAATTGCCTCTGTTTATAATCCTGAGCAAAATGTTGCTTTGTATGACATGTTTTCAAACTTTTTTATCAATATTATTATGTGGTACACATTTATTTGTGCCTTTTTTTCCTTTGATGTTATATTTGAGAGATTGTCCATGTTGATAGCTGCTTTTTACTTTATTTTCATTGCTTTATTCTCCTAAATGAATATAACTAGTCATTCTCCTATTGATGACATTTAGGTTTTAATATCACAAATAAATTTTAAAAGATGGTTTAAAAAGGCCTTGCTTAAGCTAACTAATGCTTTAAATTTGGAAATTTAAACTACATAGGGAAGAAATCTACTATTTTTAGACCTCTTACAAATTTAGTCTAATGTTTGGGATTTAATAATAAATATACTAGTTGAACTTCTGTTTGTGGAGTTACCTTTATTTTTTCATGACAGGCCTGGCTTCCAAAACAAATTTGAAACAACTTGCAGCAATACCATATTATTTCAGAAAACCTAGACTAAGATCTTGGATCATTCTAATCTAAGGCTAATATAAGCCTCCTCCCATCCCCGAATTTGGTCCCCATTTGCAATATTACTATCACATATGAAAATATTGTTACCTTTTATGTGTTAAAATTAATTTTTAATTTAATTTTTACCACAATTAAAGCAGGTAAATTGTCAGATTATATGCCAAACTGACATTTATTTTCCATTTTGAGAGTAATTCCTTTTGTGTAACAATCAGGAAATAACAGTTCTCTAGACTTTAAATGATTGATATTTTAAATAAGATATATAGACAGTGTGTGGTAAATGTCATGATGACAAGATATTTAGTCAACTACAAACAAAATGAAGTTCAGATAATGAATTCTAAATTTAAAAATTTGTGACAACATGACTTTAAAAGCAAGCTCAACTCGTTTGGGGTTGTATCCATGAGGAAGTTCCTTTAAAGCGCAACAACTCAATCACTTTGTCAGTTTTTGGACAAATGACTGAAATATCTAGTCCTCTGAAGGCTTTACCCTTTTTTTAAGTTGCAGTTATTGGCCTCTACCCAGATTCAGATGTTAGAGATTAGTCTAAAAGCTACGTCCTGATAGACGCATCTTTAAGTAGACTACCGAGCCTTTCCAATTCACATTACTGTAATTTATTAGGTTTCATTGAATGAGACACTTTAGGATATTATAATAAAAATCTTTGATAAAGGTTTCTAGAGTAAAGGTATATGCATAGGGCATCCTGTTTCTCAGTGCACAGAAGTACTTGTGTAAATTAAGAAAATATATGCCCATCTCATATCATACTTAGAAATAACATTGAGTTATTAGGAAATTGAGTTGCCTGTGGTCTGAGGAGATAATATTTTTCTTGTAAGTTCACTGTTTTCATGAAAAGGCTCTTTGATTCTCAGAATGTATTTGTTTCAAGGTAATTCAGTTTGAATTCACACATTCAGTTTGAATTCACACATTCGCAGATGTGTCCTGAACAGTCTTCCTTAAATTTTTACAGTGCATGTTTTATAGATAGTTGCACTTGATGAATATTGAAGAGTCTTTATATGACATTGGTTTTAATAATGAACTATGACATGGACTGTATACTTAATAGCACTGATATTTTCAAAACAGTAGTAGCAGTTCAATTAACAGATCTTTCTTGATATTGTTAAACTATAAATGAAAAGTTATCAATTTGAGTAAGGGGATTCAGCTTCAAAAGAACTTTCCTATTTATAAGCTTCCTTGCAGTTTAGATATGCTGCCATCAGGTGGTAGTAATATGTTATGTCCTTGTGGCTCCACAGATGACATTCTGCTTCAGGTCACCAGTTTACCCACAAAGATTTATAATAATGAATGCACAGATTTTTACATGAAAATTAAAATCACATCATATATCTGCTTAATTTTAGAGCCAAAGATGCTTTGAATAGAATTTTTAAAACATTATTGTAAATTTCAATTGGGTACCTTTTCTCTGTGTTTGGTTTTTGTTTTTTTTTTTTTAGCAAATGAATTTCATCTAAGACTTCTAAAAATTTAGAAAATATAGAAAAGAAAATTTTAAAGCTCTAATTTCATCATTCAAAGATAATAGCTACTAACCTTTAGCTTTATTTCCTTCCAGTCTTTTTTTTTTTTTTGTATGTATGTATTTTTCAGTATGTTTTTTGTTTTTGGAATTGTGTTCAATGATAGGAAATGGCTTAGCAGTAGTGACATTGTATATAAAACCATATCTTTTACAGCTTTTAAGATTACAGGTTCATTATAACTGCTTAATAGTTAATAGTCTGTTGGTTGAAGTTTTCATAATTGTATGGTCATTCATCTATGAGTACATAACATATTTTTCTGATCGTTAGAATCAGGATTATTTTTCCTCTACCTGCCATCCACAGCCTCAGAAGGACCATTATTTCATGGTATATTTTTTTATTTTATTTTTTAGCAAAAAAGATTTCTCATCATCTAGCTGTGTAGGTAGATACTTATATTTCCTCTATTGCGTTTGATATAAACTGCCAGAAAATCTGAACTCTGTTTTTCAATTATGAATGAAGATATATTGATAGTATCTTTTTTATTATTTTCATATCATATGAGTGTTTCATAATATTGTGAATTGTTTTTACCACATAATAAACATTTCAGGTGTTATGATATTATGAGATGAAGCTACTGCCTTCTTCCTACAAAAATATTTTTTCTTTTTTTTTATAGCATAAAGCTTTGCGTTAAAGAAATACAGTCTGAAGTTAACAAGCAGTGTCCAGATGTGCAGCTGCAAACAACTACTGACTGCTTTGAGTGGCTAAATAACTATAAATGTAATTCATCAAAGTCACCTTCTATTCCCCATGGAGATTTGATAAAATTCCTCAAAACACTGGTAAAAAAAAAAATCCTTGTTTTATTGTGTCATGGGGTGGTAAAATTAATCACAATTCTTTCCATTTCTATATGCAAATATTTATTTTAGTGACCATATTACCTGCCATATCTACAGGTTTTATTTTGTTTTGTTTCTATATCCCCACCAGAATCCAGTAAGATGTGGGGGTTTTTTGGCTATGATTTTTATCAGTAAAATGAAGTTTTATATAAATGGAGATTAAGTGTTAGAATTCTGGCTAATTTGTGGTGTGATGTATACCATATCAATACCACAAATATATTGATAAATATCACAATTTCCTATTAAAAATATTAATATTTATTACATTTTGTGTCCCTTCACAGCTACTCATTTTCTCTGTACTCATTAATAAACATAATAAGATCCCCATTGATTTTATCTACTAAGTAGTTTTGTCTATAATTCCCTACTTTCCCATCTTGAGGGCATACCCAGGTCATTATCATCAAGGCAGCAATTAAACAATACCACTGTTAATTGAGGTGGAATTATTAATCTGTCCATTCTTTGATACTGACCATCTTCTATGTCTGGTTAAACCTATATAGAATCTATCAGGAGTTGCTAGCTTGCAAAAACAGTTTCCCAAAGAAACAACACAATTGTTAGAAAGCAAGATTTCTGTAGCTATGGTTTTAATTTAATTTAGGGAAGAAAAGGCACCGTTTTTGTCTAAACATCAAACATAGACTAAGGCAGATGTGGAAAATACCTTGAGGATGTAGATGGCTTAGGATGACAGAATCAGGAGAAAATAGTTTTTGGCTGTTGTTATTGCATTTGTGTCTTTAATGTTTACAGAGTAATAAAAGGAAGAAGAAGGAAAAAAAAGACTATGCCCCAAAGCTTTATTCTTTTAAGAAAATCCTCTCACCCATTATCTCTTGAAGGTGGAGCCTTGAATAATAAATATGGATATAGTTATTCCTTTAATTTCTATTAAGAGCCATGTGTATTGAATTTCATTAATATTGATGTAATAATGCTTTCTCATTTAATTAAAAGCAAAACCTTTTAATTATCTTTTAATCTGTCACACATAAGTCATTCTCTATTCACTGCAGGGCAAAGGCCACCTTAGTTTTGCTCAAATTCATTAGACTCATCGGTTTTTCCAGACCTAGATTTTTTTTTACATAATTGATCATGTTACATTGAGGAAATAACCACATTATTAAAATAGATCCAGATTAAAACAACCTTATTATCAAATTTTTATATGCTAAAAATGTCAATCCTGGTGGAATTTTCATGCATCTATTTTTTTACAGAGAAAAATTTTTGCTTATTAATTATCTAACTATTTAAACAAGACACAGAGATCCTCTTTATGGCAATTATACTGAAGATATTTTCAAAATTGAAGCAATCACACTAAACATGTATTTTAAACCTCTGTAGTCCTGTACTCTCTGTTTGATCAAATATTTACAGTTATTGAGTGATTTAAAGAACCCCAAGGTTGAGGTACTGATGTGCTTTATAGAATTTACCATAATGTGGACATCCTAAACTCTTTCTTAGGATATTTCTTTTCCTGAAGTATCAAAAGAAATAAATAGAGGGCAAGGAAAGAGAGAAGCTTCAGAAAGGTCATTGTACCTTGTGGCTTTCTAAAGTATAGTACAAAGGACATGGATGAGGAGAATGAAGTCAAGGAATCCATTCTTGGTTCTATGCTTTATCATTTGTAATTTTTGAAAAATAACTTAAATATACCATACTTTAGCATCCTTATCTGTAAGTGGGGTTTTTAAATATCTATGCCACAGAGTTTTCATTATAGAGACTACATGGGAAAGTGCTTTTAAATAATAAGAATATATGTATATATATTCTTATATATACATACACACACACACATACACACATGTATATATGTTTGGCATTGCAACTTATTACAGATAGAACATTAAAGTAGACATTGCAAACTCAGAGTAATTGAGAATTAATTCGTGGAATTTGTCTAAGAGTTGTTCATAGTTGTGAATAACATAATACCTGTGGTATCTTTGTCAATAAGAAATTTTAAAGTCAGCATGATTTTATGTCAATTGAACCTTGCTTCCATTTTTCTTATAATAAGCTTATTGCTACTTAGAGAATATAAGCTTATTTCAGTATTAACTGAAATAGATGTAATTAGTAAAGTCAGCATGTAAAGAGATGTGTGTGTATAATTCAAAGTCCAAAAAAGTAAGCAATTTTTTTGGCCCTTTACTATTCAGAATTGTTCCTACTATTGTTTTCTGTAGGTTAGCACAGGTACAATTTAACAGTATAATTTCATACCATTTGGGTAGACCAATTGTGAGAGTATTTTTCCCTCATTTTGAGTTAGTTATTTCTTTAGAGAGAATTGAAATATCCTGTGAATAAATTTCCAAAATAATATCTTTTTTACATAGTTCTCAAAAAGGAATTTAAGTGAAAGTTAAAAACTTTGAATGCAATTTTATTACTCACTATGGCAACTATTAGTAACCCATAGGTACATGCTATATTTAAAGGTCCCCATTTTGTATGTTCATTTACAGTTTTATAATAATAAGTGTACTCATTCAGGCATGGAAATTAATTAGGGACATGATTTTGAATTTATTTTGTCTTAAGAATCCATTTCAATTGATGTTTTACTATGACTTTATTTAGAATTTTAAGGTATAGCTTTCATACAGCTCAAGTTATATTGGGGTAGATAACAAGAAGGGCAAAAAATCAATATATCTAGAAATCTAATTGAAAAAAGTTTCATCAGCTGGGCTTTATGAAATTTAACAGAACATAAAGCTAGCCTTCTAAAATTTCAAATGAAAAAAAAAAAAAAAAAACACTTGAAGAACATCCAAGAATGATTTTTCTTTTTTTTTTTTTTTTTTTGCATGAAAGTACTAGGTTGTAGGCTAGAGGTATCCAGGAGGTGAGAGTATTCACCAAAGACAGAGTGGAGAGCAGAACAGGCAGATTTATTGAAATACACTGCTAAGGGGAACAATGGGCCAGACAGCTATGCCATGTGGTTTAGCTCCCAGACCGTAGAAGTGATTGCGCTGAGACTTAATCCCTATTCCACCAAGAATGTATTTTAACTGAAACTAACAATTATAAAATCACATGATTATAGAAATCATTTTTTCTTGTTACTTTTACAATTAATCACCTTTCTAATGTTATTTACTTTTATTAGCAAGATTTCTTGAAGAATGAACAAAATCAAGAAGAAATGATATTGGATTTACTTTGGAACCTTTCCTGCCAGAGCAGTACTTCTTTCCCATCAACTCTGAATGGAATATCATTCCATTTCCTTTCGACGACTTGTCTACATTCTGTTGAAGATCATTCCTCTATGGATGTAAAGTCTATGTGGGATGATGTAAGACTACATCTTCGACGTTTCTTAGTGAACAAATTACAAAGTCATAATGAAATAAACAATTCACAGCAAAAAATTTTGTTGAAAAATCAATGCATACAACAACTCTTGTTTCTTTATCCTGAATCAGAAGTAATAATCAAGTACCAAAACATACAGAATAAACTGTTGGCTAAACCTCTGCAGAGCTGCTTTTCTTCTTACAGCAGAGAATCAAATTTAGACATAATGGTTCATGGATACCAAACTACAATGCTTAAGTTATACTCAATGATAAAAGAGGACTTTAACACACTGGGTGAAATTTTAACCCCACCCTTGACAGCAAAATTCATTAAAGAAACTTACCTGGATACTATTACAGAAGAAATGGCAAATTTTTTGGCAAATTTTTGTGAGCTGCAGTTCAAGGAAAGTACTGTCCGTGTGATTAAAACAAGCAAGACCTTCAGCAGGCATAGAGGAGCAGTGCATGCTTTGGGTTAGTGATATTTTACATTTCTGTTTCGTTTAAATCAAGCTTTTTGATACCTTTAATTTCCTAACAATTTTCTATTTAGTTCACCTAGTTGCAAACTTAAAAATAAATCAGTAAGTAAATGAATGGAAATTTGCATTACATACTCCTTTCGTGCCTTCTTATAGTAATGGAAGCATTTTATTTCCTGTTATTTAAATTATTAAAGATATTGGAAATATAATTCAAAAATATTGCCAATAAGAGTTTCATTTTTTCATTGCATAAATTATTGGGTGACACTAACATACATATTCAGTTTATATATATAAGTGTATATATATATATATATATATATATATATATAAAGCAAAAAAGTATAATTAATTATTAGGTAAAAAGGAGTAATGAAAAATTGTTGAAATTTGTATTACCTAAAACTGTAAGTTTAAAATTATAACAATTTAGTCAGCCAATTCAAATAAAAAGCTGTGAAATTCTAATTATAGATTCTGTTATAATTAGTTATAGATGCACAGTATTTTAATAGTAGCAATTTTTAAAGTCCCCCATATTATTTCTATAAGAATATAAAGATTTTTTAATAAACCACCTGTAATTTCTAATTTTATTCAAAAGGTAAGGGGAAAAGGAAATAAACTATTGTGATATAATAAAATTTTTTGTCATCAATTTAACTCGACCAGTGGAGAAAATTAAAGGTAAAAATAAATGATTATTTTGAAAGGTATGATTAATTATGCTCTTGCATAAAACCTTGAGGTATATTTCTAAGTAGATTCATAAAATATATTTTTGAAGTATTTGAAATTTTTCATTTGGTAAATTGTTATCTTTGAGTTTATGAAGATATTATAAAAATTTCCTTAGCACAATATATTTTTTACTTACCTTTCTTAACAAAATGTCAAAATACCAAATTACTCTGCTATATGAATTTTCAAATGATTTAATGTTTTCTCTTACTATTTTTATTTTCCTCCAGAAGCTGCATCACAGAACAGAGCTACATCAGCCAAATTTAGTTTGTAACAGAATCCATAGTTAGTTAATTTAGGAACATTACAATTTGCTCAAAGTAAATAGATTTTCATTTTAATTGTTAACACATAAATTTAAATGCATTCCATGACTGTGCTTTTTTCTAAAATTTCACATTCTCTAAAAAAATTCCTGATTATCTGTAAAGTGTTTTCAGTATGAAACTTTTATATCTGCTAAATATGGTTTATAACAGAAGAAAAGACATATATGGTTGGAAATATGTGTAAGTTCTATGGAATCTTAAGGGCTGATATTGAGGTATTTTTCTATTTGTGAGAGAAAACTATGTGTGTCAGCTTTAAAACCAAAATTTAAAAACATTTTTTCACGTGTCTAAGAGCACCGATCTTTCTCAAGCTCCTTTTTTTTTGAATTTTGGTATAAATTACGTGTTAAATGAGTGCTTTCCATGTTTTAGGCACTATGCTAAGCACATCGCTCTTCTTATTATCCTAATTTTTACAAAGAAAGAAGCTTAGAAAAACTAACTTGTCCTGAATCATTTTGTACATAGTCACGATTCATAGTTAGGTCTTTAAGTCTTCAGTACCCGTATTGTCAATCACCACGTTCTTGGATCTTCACGCCAAGTATAGAACTAAATGCTTTGTCATTTGTTAAAGAAATTTCTAATTGCACTATTCAAGTAGACTGCCTGAAAATCAACTCACTTCATCTTTATTGAACACTTACCCTATCAAGGCATTTAGCAGTTACCAACTTTAAGGTTTTGAGCTAAACACTGCAAAGAGAGGGAAACTAAATAAGGAACAGCTAATGAAGAATTAGTAGAGCTACTAATTTCCTCATTTATGTTATGAGAACTGGTGAACTAAGTCAGAGTGATGACTGTATTTTCCACTGATATTTAACCTATGCCAAATCTTATTTATTAAAGAAATATAGTTTAAGATGAGCACACGAACAAAATTATAATAATTTATTGTATTTATTATAATAATTTCTATTCCTATGTTAAAATCTAGATTGGCTTGAATGATTTGTGCATTATTTTTGGGGAGAGGGCAAAACAAATACTTTATTTTTTCTATATTTATATTTTTTATTTTTTTACATCATTGTTCATTTTTAAACAATATTTGCTTCCCCCCATACCCCCAGGTGTAGTCCCCATAGAGTTTCCTTCACCAATGCAGCTGTGAAGCATCACCTCAGTCCCCTGTGCTCCTCCCTCCCTCCCTCTGCTCCCTCTCCCTCATCCTCCCCTGCAGTATGTCTCTGATTTATTTATTTTTCTTTTTTTTTTTTTTACTTTGAGTTGTTAGTAAATTAGACGTGAAGCATTTAGTATTGTGTCAGATACACAGTAAATGTCTCTGATTTATAATTGTCTGTTTTTGTTTTGTTACGTTTTGTATTATTATTATTTTTCCCCCTGGTGTCTTATTTGGTTTCCCTATATTCCTCCTGTAAGTGAAACCATCCGATATTTTTCTTTTTCCTTCTGGCTTATTTCACTGAGCATAATGCCTTCTAGTTACATCCAATTCATGTTACTGCGAATTGCATGAGTTGGTTTTGTTTTGTTTTGTTTTGTTTTTTTTTGATTGCTGAAAAATATTCCATAAGCCACATCTTCTTGGTCCAGTCATCTACTTTTGGGCATTTGTGTTGTTTCCAGGTTTTACCTATTGTAAATAGTGCTGCAATAAACATAGGGATACAGGTGTTCTTTTGAATCAATGTTTTTGTGTCCTTTGGGTAGATCCCTAGTAGTAGAATTGCCGGGTCGTATGGTAGCTTCGTTTTTAGTAGACTGAGGAACCTCCGAACAGCTTTCCATAGTGGTTGGACCACTTTGCACTCCCGCCAGCAATGTAGGAGGGTTCCTTTTTCACCAACATTTGTTGTTGCTTGTTTTTTTTTTTTTATATGTGCCATTCTTACTGGTGTAAGGTGGTATATCAACGTGATTTTAATTTGCATTTCCCTGATTATAAGGGATGTTGAACATTTTTTCATTTGCCTATCGGCCATTTGCATTTCCTCTTTGGAGAAATGTCTTTTAAGTTCTTCTGCCCATTTCTTGACTGGATTGTTTACTATGTTTTTGATGAGTTGTGTGAGTTCTTTGTATATCTTTGTGATTAGCCCCTTATCCATTGAATGGAGGGCAAAAATTTTTTCCCAATCAGTGGGGTGTCTTTCTGATTTGGTTAATGTCTCTTTTGCTGTGCAAAGGTTTTCAGTTTGATGTAATCCCAGGTGTTTATCTTTTCCTTAACTATCTTTGCTTTGGGTGATGAGTCTTTAAAGATGTTATTCCGATGTATGTCTTGTAGTGTTTTACCTATATTATCTTCTATATATTTTATGGTTTCAGGTCCAGTTCTCTTCTCCATTTTGAGTTGATTTTTGTGCATGGTGAGAAGTAGTAGTCTAGTTTCATTTTTTTTGCATGTGGTGTTCCAGTTTTCCCAGCACCATATATTGAACAAATTGTCCATGTTCCATTGCATATTCTTTGCTCCTTTGTCAAAGATCAGTTGTCCATATAAGTGTGGTTTTATTTCTGGGCTCTCCATTCAGTTCCATTGGTCTGTGTGTCTGTTTTTGTTCCAATACCAAACTCTTTTAATTATTATGGCTTTATAGTATAGCTTGAAGTTTGGAAGTGTGATACCTCCTTTCCTCATTGTTTTTATCAGTAGGGCTTTGGCTATTCGTGGTTTTTTGTGGTTCCATATGAATTTCATCAGTATTTGTTCTTTTCTTTGAAGAATGTCATTGATATTTTTATTGGAATATCATTGAATCTGTATATTGCTTTTGGTAGGATGGACATTTTAATTATGTTAATTCTTCCAATCCATGAGCAGGGGATGTCTTTCCATTTCTTTGTGTCTTTTTCTGTTTCTTTTAACAGTGTTTTATAATTTTCTTTGTATAGGTCTTTCACCTCTTTTGTTTGGTTTATTCCAAAGTATTTGATTTTTTTTTTTTTCAGTTATAAAAGGGATGGTTTTCTTGATTTCTTCTTCAGATTGATTGATTATGCATAGGAAGGCTACTGATTTTTGCGTGTTGATTTTGTATCCTGCTACTTTACTGAACTGGTTGATTACTTTGAATAGCTTTTCAGTAGAGTTTTGGGGTTCTCTACGTATATTATCATATCATCTGCAAATAGTGATAGTTTTACTTCTTCTTTCCCTATTTGGATTCCTTGTATGTCTTTCTCTTGTCTTATTGCCCTGTCTAGGACTTCCAGTATTCAGTTGAAGAGCAGTGGTGAGAGAGGACATCCTTGTCTTGTTCCTGATCTTAAAGGAAAGGCCTTCAGCTCTTTGCCATTGAGAATAATATTGGTGGTGGGTTTGTCATATATGGCTTTTATCATGTTAAGGTATGTTCCTTTTATCCTGAGAATTTCAAGGGCCTTCATCATAAATGGATGCTGGACTTTGTCGAATACTTTCTCAACATCTATTGATATGATCATATGGTTTTTATTTTTCTATTGTTGATATGTTGGATTACACTGATGGATTTTCATATGTTGAACCATCCTTGTGCCCCTGGGATGAATCCCACTTGATCATGGTATATTAGCCCTTTGATGCATTCTTGGATTCTGTTGGCAAGGATTTTGTTGAGGATTTTTGCATCAGTGTTCGTTAGGGAGATTGGCCTGTAATTTTCTTTTTTTTTGTGCTGTCTTTGTTTGGTTTTGGTACTAGTGTAATTTGGCTTCATAGAACGTATTTGGTAGTATTCCTTCTTTATCAATTTTTTGAAAGAGTTTGTGTAGGATAGGCACTAATTCGCTGCTCAACGTTTGGTAGAATTCATTTGTGAAGCCTTCTGGGCCTGGGCTTTTGTTTTGGGGGAGTGCTTTTTTACTGCCTCAATTTTGCTGCTTGTAATTGGTCTGTTTAGGTGTTCTATTTCTCCTTTGTCCAACTTTGGATGATTATATCATTCTAGGAATTTGTCCA